CTCCAGCATCTGCAGTTCCTACTATCTCTGTCATCTTGTAGCCATGTTTCCATAATGGCTATTATATATATTTACTTCAATAAGCAAAATCAATTCATTTACTTTGTTATAAATGCCACGTGCATTCAGATACAAAGCCTTTGTTTCGTCGTTATTACCTTTACAACATCTAGTCTTGATTCTTCATGTATTATTAGGTTTTTTTTCTCTCTCTGTTCTTCTGTCATTCTCTAACCCTCATTTCCCATTACTATTTTTCTCTCTTACCTTATTCCCGCTCTTTGTAACAAAACACATTTCCATATTTGATTGATATTTAAGAACTCCTACTTCCCTAGTTATGTGGCTAGCAAGAACCTCTCGCAGCGGTTCAGCTGTCGACCATGCCAATGGTACAAGCTCCACTTTCCCAATACTTGACCATGGCCCACAAAAAAACAGCTCATTTCTCCCATAACAGTCTTTCAGCCACATATTCATCTCTCTGATTTTAAGCACCCTATGACAAGTTACATGCAGTTCAGGTTAAAAAAAGCTAAAATTATCACAGTTCTACTGGACCATAGGGCTCATTAGACAGAGATGACTGGTGGTGGCTTAACCTGAGTGTCACCAAGTCTCAGGCAAGGGGAGCGGTTCAGAAGGAGATAACCCAGAGACTATAACCTTTGAGATTCTACCTTTTAATTTAATACCCAGCTCCACAGACTCTCCTTCATAGTTCTACTTATGTTGCTGGCACTTATGTAGACCAAGAGAAATGGATCTTCACCCTCCCACTGCAGGCTCCTCTGTGTCTCTGAGCAGATGTTCCAAGCCCCGGCTGGGCATTCAACTCAGCCACCTGGTCTCTCACTCTTTGCTGCAGAGAACAGTGCCAATCCCCTTAACTATATCCCCTACTACCATACACTCCTTGGTGCTCCACTCCTCACTTGTGGGGCTTCCTGCACCATGAATGCCACATTTAGTTTGCTAATCCACCATGTAGTGCCTGCTCTCATCTGTACAAGCTGAGGACACTTCAAATGTTTTGGACAATTACAGAAGCTGACCCTCCTGCGCTCAGAGTCCCCTTATCTATCTCACTCACAGTTACACCCACCTGTCTGATCATTGACAAGATCAGAACACCTCACACTAATTACCCCACTGGTACAAAGAATCTAGGGCACTTTTCCCCCTGCCTGATGTGTTACAGTATCTGCAGTTCAGCCTCTAGGTCATAAACTCTTGAGTTAAAGTGGCTCAAATGTCAAATGCGTATTACAGACATTTCTGCCTGGGACTTTTTTCATTGGAGTGTAGGAGGTTGAGAGGAAACCTTATGGAAGTTTATAAAATAACGAGGGGCATAGATCGAGTTAATGGTAGTTGTCTTTTCCTAGGATGGGGTATCCCAAGACTATGGGGCACATTTTTAACATGAGAGGAGAAAGATTTAAAAAGGACATGAGGGGCAAATTTTTTTTTACACAGAGGGTAGTTCGCATGTGAAATGAGCTTCCTGAGGAAGTGGTGGATGTGGATACAATTACAATGTTTAAAAGACATTTGGATAAGTACATGAGTAGGAAAGGTTTGGAGGGATATGGGCCAGGAACAGGCAGTGGGATTAGTTAGACCGAAGGGTTTGCTTCTGTGCTGTATGACTCTATGATAATGGTGTCCAGGTCCTCCCACAAGCTGCATACTTGAAACATCACCTATCCTGTCATTCTTAAATCAGTTTTAATTTAATTACTTAGTTGCATTATTTATTGGAAAATAATATCAGGAAAACTTAAAATCTTTAGGTGGTTGATCAAATTGCAATATTTCATCAAGAGCCCTATTCAGTACATTAAGAATATGAAGTTAATACAGAGACAGTGATTCAATAATCATTATTTGCAACCTTACTTCTGGAGCTCTTTCTATCCAATCTATCTAATCTAATTTATTAGCAAGAGTATTCGATCAATACTGGAGAAATTTCAGCGGTTAAATTTAAAACTAACCTGTTATGAATGCCAAAGTAATAACATTAGAATTGCTTCATTGTTTGATGAAATATATGTATAACTGAGATAACAAAGTGCACACTGAAGCAATATTATTTTTAAGCTGATTCAATTCAACACTCAGCTGGATTGCAATGCAGAGTGATGGTAATAGCACAGGTTCAATTCCCTTTTAATTTGAGGTAATCACGAAGGTCCTGCTTTCTCAACCTTGCATCACCGGAGTCATGGTGACCCTTATGTTAAACTCACCACCAATCGTCTCTCTCTAATGAGAGTTTTCAATAAAGATAGACACTAATACATGATATTTAATAATGAAATTAAGATAATCTACAAACAATCTAATTGGAAAACAAAATGATCAGAGTGTAGCCAATAACCCTGATAAAAAGATGTGCATGTGTCACAAAAGACTGCCAAGATACAAGATGAGGAAAACCATGGAAATGGTTGCTGCAGCACTAAACAACTTATCAACTGGAAGTGAAAGTGGATTATTAACTGTCCCTGTTTATTTCCCTTTTGAAATAGAAGGTATGGTCATCTATTGTGGTCATCAATATAATTACAATGGGCTATGATTAAAGTTTAGCTCCAGTCATATTTTTACACGGTGTTCTGAACATCAAACATTTCAGTGAGAAACGTTACACAAGGGGTGAGTGTTACAATCATATTGTGTAAACTCGCCAATGAAAAATATCTTTTTGCTGTACCCTGTTATTAAGAGACTATTAAAGAATTAAATAAAGCGCTTGCTTGTTTGTCTTAATAAATTTGAATTTTGATGTTCTTTATCATGTTATTGTTTGCCAGTATTGTGAAAATACTTACATAAAACTGAGTGCATCAGTATCACTTGCCTAATGATGAACTCTCATTATGTAGCATATTTATCTTACAAGTGATAACAAACAACTAAAGAATCATTTGCACAACAAATCGAATGTACAGAGGTCCACAGTCCAATAACATTAACAAAGAAGAAGCGACATTTATTCTTCTTTTGGCACAGCTAGTATTTCTTTACAATAAATAACAGCAAAAAGATATAAGACACAAGTGATTCACTTCATTGCTTTTTGGGGGATTGTTCTCCATTCAAAGTGACTGTGGGTTTTGCTTTCATAATTGCTTTGACAATTTGTTTGCTGTGAAGCACCTTGGAACATGTAACAATACAGTATGTAACCCTGAGTTCCTTCTTTCCTTTCAGACTTTGTACTGACATCACTATAAATTCCATCAGCAGTTTTCCAATTTCCATGTTGAAATTTGCTGAACTTTAAGATCAGTGACTCACATTCCAAGTACACAAGTGTTGCCCAGTTGCCTCGCTGGTGTGGAAAGCTGCGTATGCGACCATCATGCTTGGCACTATCATCCAGCTCCTCTTCAAATTCCCTGAACATACCCATTACACTCTCTGGGACTGGCAAGCGTTGGGATTTCACTCTGTGCAACACCAATAAAAACAAAACATCAACGCTCAGAGTCAGCATATAACAATTGGAATCAGTACATCACTGCGCTAAGCAAAATCCAGATAGAGGATTCAACTAAAAATGTATTGCTTGCTTTTACGCTACTTGCATTTTTTTTCTAAATTGCATATCTTTGTTTGCCTCCCATTCTTACAAGTATTTTTTTATCCTCTTTCTTATCCCTCATTGTGCTCTCCATTTCCAATTTGTAGGAAGAAATACAGAAATTTACAGCTGCATTTTTTTAAAAGCAGAATGAAATGCAAGCTGGTGTGGTGCGCCAAAATACGATGATCAGGCATATTTATTATTATTGAAATATGAGAATATTAAAGAACTCCACACACACAAAGGATAAAAATTCTATGTTACTTGAAATATAAGAATCTAAGCGAGGTAGTGGAACAAAGGGATCCATGATCGCAAATAAACAAATCACTAAATATCTGAATATCACTAACACAGAATAATCAGATTGTCTCAAATGCAAACTTTATAAAGTTAGCATAAATTATGTTAAACTTGCTTCAAACCTTAGTTAAGTCACATTTTCTCAGTGCTCTGAATTATAAAAGTGCCAATGAGGTATAAAGGACATTTAAAAGGACGATAATAAAATTGTTTGCTTAAATATATAACGATGAAAGGCTGATTGTCTTAGCTTTGGTGCTAAGCATATTGAGTTGCACATAATCTAATGTCATTTGGAAGTGCATTATAAAAGTATATTAGCTATATTAATCCTCTCTGGCACCTCATCAAAAAGTTCAATCAAACTAATTCAACAACATCTGCCTCTAACAAATCCATGATAGCTTTTCTCTAGTTAGCTTTATTTGTTCCAGTGACAGTTAACTTGGTCTTGGACGTTTACTACCCAACACTGAGGTTAAACTGACTAGTCTGGTTTGAACAAGGGTGTAGCATTTGCGAACATTCAATGTTCTGGCACATCTCTGCCTCAAGGAAAACCATATCTCCATATTTTCCAGCCTGCTTCCTTCAGCATCCCTTTGGTCCTAATGACTTACTAATGTTAAGTACAGCCATCCTTTTGAAAACATGCTCTTTATTAAATTTGAGCCCATCCAAGCCTCAGTCACTTTGTGATTTGCTACACTGTAACAGCCATTCTTTCCTGCTTAAGCAGTCATATAGTACTTTGACTATGCAGTGTCCCTCTCTCGTCCTTTTACTTTTTAAGTGCATATGGATTTCCTTTTATATATCTGCCACTCTTTTTTTCATATTTATAATACTGATTCCCTTTTTCATTTCACTTCCGAAGGTTCCATATTTAGCCTGATTTTTCACTCATATTATTCACCTTACATCTATCATCAGCCCTTTTTTTTTGTTGGTTTTTCCATTCTTTGTGCGTCTTTCACCATCCAGGGTGCTCCTGCTTTAATTGTCTTGAGTTTTCCCCCAGACATTCTATCTGTACCTAACTGAACCATCTTTTTTTTTTAAGTTACAGCTTTACCAGCCAATCTTAGATGTTGTAAGTTGTGCTGACAGAACTCGATGAAGGAGGATGTGAGAATATTTACTCTAGCAAGGTCTGTTTGGGCCGAATGGCCTGTTTCTGTGCTGTTACATTAATTCTGTTTGTTATATATATTTTGGGTAATACTTGGCTGGGGGGGAACCTCCTGGCGGTGCACACCGACCCTTCTTCCGCTAATTCCGGCCCTAGTTACTCACTCAGCCCCGCCGACAGCTCCCTGCTCTGCTGGGCCCCGGGAACCTGCTTCGCCCGGACGCCGCTTCTCCTCCTCTTCCTCGCTGCTGCTGCTGTAATTCACCAGAAACATCCCGGGGCCTAGCTTTCTCACACCCTCTCCTGTGTAGCTGCCGCCATCTTGGGCCCTGGTTCCCCCTGCTCAATGTTCCGGCCGGAACGCCGGACCCAGCAGGGGGGTTCCGGGGAACTCATACAAACAGCCGTCAGCCAGAAACCTCCCCGAAGCAACTCAGAAACTTCACCCCAGCTGCTCACATACCTCACTCGTGGTCTGTTCTTGCCAAGCTGCCAAATGATTCTAAATATGTATTTTGTTATATGCCCCTCCATCGTTTTTTTTTTGCATTTACAGCAGGATTTTTCCCCCTGTCTGATAGAAACCTCCAAAAAAACGTGAATGCCATTCGCTTTATATTGGAAAAGTCAGCATCCACAGAAAATTGGATATTTGTGTTTTGCTGTGATGTCCCAGCTCAGCATTCCTAATAATTAGAACAAAACCAAAGAGAAGTACAGCACAGGAACAGGCCCTTCAGCCCTCCAAGCCTATGCCAATCATCAGCCCTAACTAAACTAAAAAACAAACCTCTTCCCTTATTCAGTCCATATCCCTCTATTCCCTCCCTATTCCAGATGCCTCTTAAATGTAGACAATGTGCCTTCTTCCACCATCTCTTCTGGCAGTGCATTCCAGACTCCTTTCACTCTCTGTGTGAAAAACTTCCCTCGCACATCTCCCTTAAACTTTCCCCCTGTCAACTTGAACCTGTGCCCCCTTGTAATTGAAACTTCAAGCGTGGGAAAAAGCCTCTGACTATCCACCCTATCTATGCCCTTCATAATTTTGTAGACCTCTACCAGGGCTCCTCTCAGCTGCCGTCTTTCCAGTGAAAACCATCCTAGTCTTTTTAACCTTTCCTCATAGCCAATGTCCTCAAGACCCGGCAACATCCTGTTGAACCTTCTCTGCACTCCCTACAAAGCATCCACGTCCTTCTGGTAGTGTGGTGACCAAAACTGCACACAACACTCCAAACGTGGCCTAACAAGGCTTTTATATAGGTGCCACATGTTTTTTTCCTCTTTATTCATTCACAGGATGCGGGCAATGCTGGCCAGTCAGCATTTATTGCCCATCCCTAATTGCCCAGAGGGTAGTTAAGAGTCAACCACATTGCTGTGGGTCTGGAGCCACATGTAGGCCAGACCAGGTAAGGATGACAGTTTCCTTCCCTAAAGGACATTAGTGAACCAGATGGGTTTTTCTGACAATCAACAATGGATTCATGGTCGTCATTAGATTCTTAATTCCAGATATTTATTGAATTCAAATTCCACCATCTGCCATGGCAGGATTCGAACCCACATCCCCAGAATATTATCTGGGTCGCTGGGTTAACAGTCCAGCAATATTATCACGAGGCCATTACCTCCCCAAGGTTTGGCAACTCTTGTACTCCAAATCCCGGCCGATGAAGGGAAGCATGCCATAGCCTTCTTAATCACCTTGGCCGCTTGTGTTGCCACTTTTAGGGAACTATGCCCAGATACGTTTGTATGTTAATGTTCCTAAAGATTCTGCCATTTACAGTATAATTCACACCTGAATTTAATCCTCCAAAATGCATTACCTTTCATTTGTCTGGATTAAACTCCATCTGCCATTTCTGTGCCCAAGTCACCAATCTATATGCTGTTATATCCTTTCACAATCGTCGGCACTGTCAGCAACTCCACCAATCTTCGTGTCATCTGGAAACTTACTAATCAGACCACACTCACATTTTCCTCCAGATCATTTATATGTTCTACAACAACAGAAGACCTAAGACTGATCCCTGTGGAACATCACTAGTTACCAATCTCCATTCTGGAAAAACACCGTTCCACCGCTATCCTCTGTCTTCTAAGACCAAGTCAGTTTTGTATCCAACAAGCCAGACCACTCTGAATCCCACGTCATTTTAGTTTTGTACCAATCTGCCATATGGGACTTTATTAAATCCTTTACTAAAGTCCATATAAACTACATCCATAGCCCTTCCCTCATCAATTATCTTTGTCACCTCTTCAAAAAATTCAGTCAGGTTGGTGAGACATGACCTTCCCCGTACAAAACCATGCTGCCTGTCACAAACTAATCCATTTTCTTCCAAATGTGCATATATCCTGTCCTTCAGTATCTTCTCCACGAACTTCCCCACCACAGACGTCAGGCTAACTGACCTATGATATCTGCTAATGCCCCAGCTATTTCGTATACAGATTGCATGAGTGATATTTCTCGACAGTTTATTCGAAATCGCAAGCAGTGCAGACAGCAGCCTGATGTCCTGTTCTGCTGGTTATCCAAATAACTTTAAACTTCATTAACACAGGCAGCATTCTGTAGGCACAAGTACCGAAGTTGCTGGAAGCTCAGCAGGTCTGGCAGCATTTGTGAAGAAAAAGATCAGAGTTAGCATTTCAGGTCTGGTGTCTCTTCGGGTTGACCCTGATTTTTTTCTTCTCAGATGCTGCCAGACCTGCTGAGCTTTTCCAGTAACTTCTGCTTTTATTCCTGATTTACAGCATCCGCAGTTCTTTCAGTTTTTATTGTGCATTCTGCAAATTTAATTGAAGCAGTCATAATCTGGCTGGTCACTAGGGGATGCCAAAGTACATCTAATACTGAACTTGTACTTCGCAGTCTGATGGATAATTTAAAACAGTGCTGCGCAGGATAATGAGAAAATGGAATGCCTAACTACTTCTCATGCTAATCTGTCAGGCTTTGTCCAGAAAATAAATATATTCTTGTCATGTTCATTAATTCACTTTAACTTTTGATATCACTTTTATTCATCCATCCTGCTCCAACTCTCCCTGTCCACTATGTCTGCATCAAGCCCCTTGGAACTTTGGGATCTTGTTGACCCTGAGCTTCCAACTGTACAACCTCCCCATTGTCAAAACCAACTCTCTACCAACAGTCGCCTCTACTCCTGCCTCAGCTCATCTGCTGCAGGAACTCTCGTCGTTGCCATTGTTATCCCCGGACTCGACAGTTCTACTCTTCTCTTGGCTAAGCTCTTACCTTTCAAACTGAAAGTCTTGCATTTGAATAGTGCTTTTCACATTCATTGGAAATCAAAGGCCATTACAACCAATGGAGTTCATTTTTGGAAGTTCAGTCACTGTTATAATGTAGGAAACCTTCCCATACATCAGATAGTGCCAAAAATCCACTGGTTCTGTCCTACCTCACAGCAAACCATGCTCACCGCCCATCCCTGTGTTTGATATCCAACATTGGACATTTTAAACATCTCATCCTTGTTTTCAAATCCTGCTAATGGTTTGCTCCTCCCTGTGTCTATAAACAACTTCAGCCCTAAAACCCTACAACATGACTATGCTTCTCTAATTCTGGTCTCTCAGATATTCCTGATTTTAATTGCTCAGCTATTGGATGCGCTAGTACATTTACCCTAAACTCTGGTATTCCCTCCCTAAAGCTCCTCATCCCTCTATGTCCCTTTCCTATTTTAAGACACTGCTTACAACTCATCGTTTTGACTAAGATTTTGGATATTTGCTTGAATTGTGATTCGGTGTCAAATTTCCTTTGATGATCTGCACTCAAAGTCCTCTGGGATGTATTATTGTTCGTAAGAGCAGGGGATGAGCTGCAGAAAAGAATGAAACAGGTTGGATAGCAATTTCTGCACATCTGCCTGATACAGATTACCAAGTCTGTCACAGAAAGGAGACTTCAGTCTCTTCTTTCATTGACATTCATCTCACCCAGGAGTAACATTCCCACACAGGTCATACTGCTGACATTCACAAACTTAAGTCTAGCATTCAGGACTAAGGGGAGGCCGGAGACTTCCATGAGTCTAGTGGGGTATTCCTGCTTGATCAACAGGGAATGCTGAGGAAGGCATTTAACTTGTGGTCTAGCAGCTCCTGCTTTCCATGCACTGCAACGTTTCTGATCGCTATGAAACCTCTGCAGCAAAAGGGAATTTTTAATCAGCGACCTAATTACACTGCACAGCCCAATTTAAATTGTTTAATGAAATGTCATACCTGTCCACAATGGGACATTCATATACTCTCATCCTCTGTATAAAAACTCACACATGCAGCATGTTCATTCCACATATTTAACTCGGTAAACACCAGGCCCTCCTTTTGTCTGTCTTAGCAGGATTATTATTATTGTTCTTCAGGTCAGTGTCTTTCCTGCTCGTATCCCAAAGGAAGTAGTTGCAATCTCCAATCACTAATTACTCACAGCACTAACTTTGGTTGACTCAGTTCATAGAGTCTATCCTTCGGTCTAACAAGTCCACACCAACCATGTTCCCAACTAAACTAGTCCCAACTGCCTGCGTTTGGCCCATATCCCTCCAAACATTTCCTTTTCATGAACTTATCCAAATGTGTTTTAAATGTTATAACTGTACCCACATCCACCACGTCCTCCAGCAGTTCATTTCACACACAAACCACTCTCTGTGTAAAAAAAGTTGCCCCTAATGTCCTTTTTAAAACTTTTTCCTCTCCTTAAAAATATGCCCCCATGTTTTGAGCTCCCCCACCCTCAGGAGAGGACCCCTGATATTTACCTTATTTATGCCCCTTATGAAATCCTATAAGGTTACCCCTCAACACCTATGCCCCAGCCTCTCCTTATAACTCAAACCCTCCATTCCCAGTGAAATCCCGAGCCCTCTCCAATTTAGTAATATCCTTCCTGTAGCAGGGCAACCAGAACTGGACACAGTATTCCTGTACAACCTCAACATAACATCCCAACTCCTATACTCAAAAGACTGAGCAATGAAGGCAAGTGTGCTAATCACGTTTAACACACTTTAACCCTCCTCCTGGACACCACCCCAAGGCCTCCTACCCTCCCTCGACCTCTTCATCTCCAACTGCCGTCGAGACATCAATCGCCTCAACCTCTCCACCCCACTCACCCACTCCAACCTCTCCCCCACAGAACGTGCAGCCTTCCGCTCCCTCCGCTCCAATCCCAACCTCACCATAAAACCTGCAGACAAGGGAGGCGCAGTTGTAGTATGGCACACTGACCTCTACATCGCCGAGGCCAGACGCCAGCTCTCTGACACCTCCTCCTACCGCCCCCTTGATCATGACCCCACCCCTGACCACCAAACCATCATCTCCCAAACCATCCACAACTTCATCACCTCAGGTGACATCCCACTCACAGCC